ATAGTAAAAACTATCAGATCATCACTTGGCTTCGCAATACTTCTATTACATCCATCAGCCTTCAGTTTGGTCGGTTCCAACTTGACTCTGCTTCCTCTCCAGCCAAGGCCATCTGGGATTTTTTACAAGAACGCTATCAAACTACTGGCCTTGCTCACCAATATCAGCTTCTGAGTCATCTTCACCGTATGCGCCAAGATACAACTCAGACCATTAATGATTTCCTCTCCCAAATGTATTATGTTTGGGATCAGCTCGCTCTTTCTGAACCTCCATGGGATTGTACTACGGATGCTGCCTTGTTTACTACTTACCGTGACCAACATCACTTGGTTCAATTTCTCATGGCTCTCACTCCCCGTTTTGAGTCAGTACGCGCATCTCTCCTTCATCGCACTCCTTTACCCACTCTTGAGCAAGCAATTTCTGAACTACTGTCCGAGGAAACCAGGTTTGGTACTCTCCATCCGCACCCTGTGGACTCTGTTCTTGCTACTCCCCAGATTCGAAGTTCTCCTTCACCACCTTCACTGCAGAAGTCAACTCTCTGCAACTACTGTCAAAACCGCAGTCTTCCGTCGACTCATCTTCTGGTTAATTGTCCAGTTTGTCTTTGTCGATTTTGCAACAAGACTGGTCCTGGTCATCTCTAGCAAGATTGCTTCCGCAATCCCGCCCGTGCCTCTCGCAATGGTCCTTCCACCGGGCATTTTTCCCGCAGCAACTCTCACCGTTCTGGGACTCCGTTTAAACCAATGCCTGCTCAACGCACTGCTGCTGCTGCCTCAGAGGATTTACCTTCCTCTGTCCCTATAGACCCTTCCACTCCAGTCTTCTCTCAAACAGATGTCGAAGCCATGTTTCAACATTTTTGGCAGAATTCCGGTACTCCTCCATCTACTGCTTTGTCTGTCACCGTAGGTAACATTTCCTGGTACTTTGACTCCGCTTGTTGTAATCACATGACCTTTGACCCTACTGTTTTTACTCCTCTCTCTTCTACTCCTCATGTTCCTTCTATCTATACTGCCGATGGATCTCTTCTGTCTGTAAGTCATGTTGGTTCTGTTTGCACCTCTCACTTATCTTTATCCCATGTATATCTTATGTCTGCTCTTACTTTAAATCTTATCTCCATTAGTCAATTATATGAGCATGGTCTAACTGTTACCTTTTCTCATACTGGTTGTTTGGTGCAGGACCCTCGGACAGGGCAAACTCTTGGGATAAGCTGTAAGCATGGACGTCTCTACGAACTCATCCATCTTCATGTTCCGGATTCCTCTTAGATCACCGCTCCTACCACTGCTACCACTGCTCCTCCTTTATCTCCTTTTCAGCTTTGGCACTGTCGTTTAGGCCATCTTTCTGTTGGTCGTTTAAAATCTTTAATTTCTAGTGGTCATTTAGGTTTTGTAAGTTCTGATGCTTTAGATTGTGTGTCCTGTCAACTTGCCAAACAACCTGCTTTGTCATTTAATAAAAGTGACTCTGTTTCTCTTGCACCATTTGATCTCATTCATTCTGATATTTGGGGACCCTCTGCTACTCCTACTATGGAAGGCGCACGCTATTTTGTTGTTTTTATAGATGATTTTTCCCGTTTTACATGGTTGTTTCTTATGAAAAATCGCTCTGAGGTCAAACAACTTTATTACAATTTTACTGCAATGGTTAAAACACAATTTTCTAAAAATATTAAGCTTTTTCGCTCCGACAATGCCATGGAATATAAAGATTTTGACTTTCTTTCCTTCCTTCAGAGTCATGGTACTCACCCTCATCGTTCATGTCCCGGTACGTCTCAGCAAAATAGACGTGCTGAACGGAAACATCGGCATATTCTCGACACTACTTGTGCTCTCCTTTTGTCTTTCTCTTGTCCGGAGGAACATTTTTGGGGAGAGGAAGCTCTCACTGCTGCTTACACTATCAACTGTATCCCTACACCTGTCATTCATAATCACACTCCTTATGAGCGTCTGCATGGCACCCGTACCCCTTACACCAACCTTAGGGTCTTTGGCTCTGCCTGTTTTGTTCTTCTCCAACCTCATGAACGTACCAAACTTGAACCCCGTTCCCGCCTTTGTTGCTTCTTGGGGTATGGTATTGAACGTAAGGGGTATCGTTGTTGGGATCCTCTCTCCCAGCGACTTCGTATCTCTCGTCATGTGGTCTTTTGGGAACACAAAATATTTTCCTCTCTGCGACTTCGTATCTCTCGTCATGTGGTCTTTTGGGAACACAAAATATTTTCCTCTCTCTCTCTCTCTTCCGTTTGTCCGTTCCTTCACCCTCTCTGTTTTTTACTGACCTTTCCACAGATCTGTTTTCTGATGAGCTTACTCCACCACCTCTGCCAGCCTCTCTCGAGATTTCTGATACCCTTACTCCACCGCCCCTGCCAGCCTCTCTCGAGATCGCCTTGCTTACTGGTCTGTCCTATGCACCTGCTCGCTCTGATGGGCCTGCTCCTGCTCCCTTGGGCTCCTCCCCTCCTGTTGAGTCTCTTCCTTTGGCTCCTCCTCCCTCTGCTCGACCACACCGGGTAATCCAACCTTTTACTCGTCTTCGTGACTTTATTGTTGGTTCTACTGCTTTTTCTACTTATGAACCGACCTCCTATCGTAAGGCTCGCTCTAATCCTCTTTGGCAGCATGCTATGATTGATGAATTACAGGCTTTAGACAAAACTCATACTTGGGACATTGTTGATCTTCCTCCTGGCAAGACTGCCATTGGCTGTAAATGGGTATGCAAAATCAAGACTTGTTCTGATGGATCTATTGAGCGCTACAAAGCTCGCCTTGTTGCCAAAGGCTTCAACCAAGAATATGGTATTGACTATGAGGAGACCTTTGTTCTTGTTGCTCGTCTCACCTCTGTTCGCAGCTTGATTGCTGTTGCTACCACCCGCCAATGGAATCTTTATCAACTGGACGTGAAAAATGCTTTTCTTAATGGTGTTCTTCTCGAGGAGGTCTACATGCAACCTCCCCTGGATCTACTTATCCCCCTAATAAAGTCTGCAAACTTCAGCGTGCTTTATATGGTCTCAAACAAACTCCACGCGCTTGGTTTGCCAAGTTCAGCTCTATTATTCATGAATGTGGTTTCACCTCCCGCTCTTATGATATTGCTCTTTTTATCCGGCAAACAGCTCAAGGGACCACCCTGCTTCTGCTTTATGTGGATGATATGATTATCACCGGTGATGATATCGATGGTATTCTTCGCCTTAAACAGTTTCTTAGCCATCATTTCGAGATGAAAGACCTTGGTCCTCTCAGTTATTTCTTGGGTCTTGAAATCTTTCATGATTCTACGGGTTTTTTTCTCTCTCAGGCTAAGTACACCTCTGATCTTCTCACACGTGCTGGTCTTACGGATTGCAAGACTGCCTCTACTCCCCTGGAGCCTCAGAGTCGTCTTACACCTCTTGATGGCACTCTTCTCTCTGATGCTACCCTATATCGTCAGCTGGTTGACAGTCTTGTCTATCTCACTGTTACTCGTCCTGATATTGCCTATGCCGTTCATATTGTCAGCCAGTTTATGTCGACTCCTCGTACCCCTCATTATACTGCATTAGTTCGTATCCTTTGGTATCTCAAAGGCAACCTGTTTCATGGTCTTCATTATTCCGCCCGCTCATCTCTCCAGCTTCGTGCTTTCTCCGATGCTGATTGGGCTAGCGATCCTACTGACCGCCGCTCTACTACTGGGTTTTGCTTTTTCCTGGGTGATTCTCTTATTTCTTGGCGTAGCAAGAAACAATCTCTTACCGCTCGTTCCAGTAACAAAGCCGAATACCGTGCTCTGGCTGATACTACTCAGGAGTTTCTCTGGCTTCGTTGGCTTCTTGCTGACATGGATGTTACCCCCTCTGGTGCTACTGACCTCTTTTGTGACAATCACAGTGCTCTTCAAATTGCTCACAATGATGTTTTTCATGATCGCACCAAACACATTGAGATTGACTGCCATTTTATTCGTTAACACGTCACTCGTGATACTGTCCATCTCCATCCGATCTCTTCTGTTGATCAACCTGCTAATATCTTCACCAAAGCTCATTCTCCTGGCCGCTTCGTTGACCTTGTCTCCAAACTCCAGTTGGTTGATGTTTGTCCTCCTTGAGTTTGAGGGGGGCTGTTAATATATAATGTATATATTAAATATATTAATGCAATCACAGCTAGTTATGCAATCATAGCTAGATATAGGATTAGAATAGGATTCTTCTGCTTTCGACTGCTTTCGGTCTCTTTTCCTTTTTATATGTTTTGTATCTCATGATGACGTTGTATAGCAGCTCCTATATAATGGAGCCTCTTCTTACTCTTTTAATACACATTGAATTATAGAGCTTACTTGCTCTTTCAGTATCACTCTCTCATATTTTACAACACAAACCATAAAATCTATAATCCAATCAAAACCAGAGCGAGTGTTTTACTTTGAACAAGAAAGGAAGAGTAACGCCCCATTGCTAAATAACCTTATCGCCAAGAACACTAGGGTCTTTGGCAATCCACGAGTTCAAACTCAAACCAACACTCTCTGAACCAATCGACACTCCATTATTGAAGCTTTGGAGGATGAAGGAGGGTCTGGACTCATGAGTGCCCATCCAGAACTCAGCATAAGGCTTGGTTTCATCAACGTTGACCCCAGAATCGTAGTTCTGCATTGAACATCTCAGTCTCCGCACCCTCCTCTGACTCACAGTCTCCATCAAAGTCACACTGCAGAAAGAGACAAAAACCTAGAGAGAGAGAGTAGAATTGTTTACAGAAGTGGAGTGTTTTATGTGTATATGAAATTCTAATAATGACAAATAAACATGGCTATATACAATATCAAAATGTGTCAATTGTAATATATTTGCATGGTAGATGTTACTTTATGATTATCAATTAATTTCAAAATGAGTCAATTGCCTCTTATGCAGAAACCCACCCAATCCCTGTCTCTTCCATGGGATGATTTGCACCTTCAATATCAATGCCTTCAAATTAAATTTGTAATTTACTAGTAAGTAACATGATAGTCTTGGCAAGCCTGCCTACATATTTCTTTTCCAACTGCTATTTCACTATTTCTGTAACTTTTGCTATGCATCATTATTCATGCACGTACATGGAAAGAGATAATATTACATAAATTACAATTCCACAAACCAATAATACCAATGGCGTCTACAATAAACCAAATTAGGATCCCCACATGAAATACCATGCCATGCTCCAACTCAAGACGCCTGAAAGAACCGACTGTTCACACCAGCTCTATATAGATGTAATTCAGATGCTGTTCTCACGCTTATATCAGTATTTGCAGGAGTGAATAGAACATCACCCTCCCTAACTACATCTTCAAAGGACGACGCATGCATTGTTCCTTCTCCCTCCATGATCACAAAAACAGAGGGGCCAGGGACTGCTGGAAAAACAACTGATGCACCCTGGGGAAGAATGCAGCGATCAACTTCAAATTCATCGAAAGGAGGGAGGTACCTTCTGGTGTATGGATTTAACGGGACTCCTTGTAGAATTTCAGGAAAACCCTGCAACAAAACACCAAATCATGCAATGACAATAGAGAACAGATTAACCCAAGACAATTAAACAGTATCTTTCACACTGGTGAAGTGAAACTTAAAACTAGTAAATTGCCAAAAAGTCACAACATCAGCAACGCACAAGAAGCCAATAGAAAGAGGGCACAACATTTGCAAAGTCTAGTTTTGAAAATGTAAAAATGAAGAGAGCAATTTCTGCATTTCACTGTTTCAGTAAGGAACAACTGCATGCTTGAGGTTGGAATCCAATGTAATGATTAATGACCCAATTGTTGCAATGCACATTCATAGTCATCCACCAGTCTCTGTTAACTTCTCCAGAATAGTATAAAAATGTGTTTAAGAAGAAGTGGCATCTACATGTGCACACAAAAACATGGGGTGATGTGGCTGGATTTATTAAGCCACTGATTACATACAGTTTTTAAGGGGATATGCATTGGCTGTGTTCATAACCAACTAATATAGTCTGAATTTCCATAACCATTCCTCTACTTTACTCTATTAAATGCATTCATACTCAATAGAAGGCCAGCAATTCTGCTTTATAGAAGTGAGTGCTGGGCAACTGAGATGAGAATGCTTTGGATGGATGTGTGGCAAAACTAAAAAAGATAGATTACAAATGAATATATTCATGAAATGGTAGGAATAGCATTTATTGAAAATAAGTTGAGAGAGAACAACTTAACATGGAAGACTAGAGCTGACATGTGATGCATACTCGCCACAGTGAAAAAAAAAATATGAATTTATTTAATTTAACAAAACATACAAACTTTGATAGAGCTAAATGACAAAAAGAAAATATTTATGTAGCCAACCCCACTTGATTGAGATACAAGGCTTAATTTGTTTCAGTTTGGTAAATGCATTCATACTCATCCAAAAATAATGATATTGTAAAATGCAACATAAAATACCTTTCTTTTAAAAATGGACAACAATATTGGAATATGCCAAAATGCATGTTGACAAAAAGAATGGAAAGTGGGGAATATAAGCAGGCATGAAAGTAGCTATTTTGGAGGTAGATTGTCCTTCTTTATGCTTTTGAGTTATTCTCTGATTTATTAACAAGAGAATCGTTTTGCCCACCCATACAGTCAATTTGGCAGGGCATCTAATTTCTGGCATCTTATATTATAAAGGAAAGCATACTTGGATATTACAAGGTTTTATGAACTATAGGCCTCATGGATTAGTTAGGTGTTTAATATTAAAAAAGGAAAAAGTAAAAATAGAAGGAGCAAGAACCACCAATCAAACGGAACATTTTTCAATGAAAAATATCCTCACCTGTTTGTACGTGAGCATGGAACAAAGAATTTGGACATCCCGGCTCTTTGGAGTTAGGCCAGCACGCACAACATTGTCTGAAGTTGCCATGCATTCAATACATTCACCATGTAAGTAGGCATGGAGTTCATTTGCCCCTAGATACAATGCTTCACCTGGTTTAAGCTTCACATAGTTAAAGAGGAAAGCTGCTAGGACACCGACATCAGCTGGATATTGCTTTTCTAGGCGCAATACTAGCTGTTCCTTATCTGTCAACTGCCTCACCTGATGCAAATTGAAAAGGTTTAAGTTTCTAAAAAAATAAAAAAGTGAAAGCACACTGTTTAGTGACTTTCATATGCGGAAAGCCCTTCCAAAAGTATTGAATACTGATCAGAGTAGAAACTACTAAACACTTGAAAGATGCCTCCGGACACTAGGTTAATTATGATCCATGGTCAAGCAACCTAATATGCAGAGTTTATAGGCTTCAGCCAATGAGGCGAATAATAAAATTGACATTCTTTCTAGAATCTGAGGATGCACTGAAAAGAATAATCAATGTGGATTGCTGCTTAGGCTGAATTTTTCATAACCTTGGTTTTGGCACAGTTTTAGTATGGGGCATAGAGCTTAGCTTGTCCAGGTGTGCCTGGTGCAAATGGGATTTAGAGAAGGTGAAGTGAAAGCCCATTTTGCCGCCCATGATACAAGTGGACATTTTGGTTCTAATATCTGAAAGGTTTGATTATTATAATCTCATTTGTTGCAATAGAAATGGAATAAACAAGTATCATATAAACCCAATGCTGACACTCGTATGAGTCAGAACATGATCTCTTAAATCGTTCCTAGATAAAAAAAATGTAATGTGTTAGACCTATTCGAAAAGATAGACTTAACAGTCAAATCATCAACATCAAGCATTCAAAACAATATATTGTCCAAAAAAACTAAGAATATATAAAAAGGGGCAGGATTACAAACTTGCCTGGTTGAGGCGACTTTTCAAATTGGATAGTGCTTTGGAAATCACATCCTTGCTAGCAGACATGAGTTGAGTGAATATTGACCGCAGAACTGATTTTACTTTTTCCTCCCCATCTTCATGGTTGATGGTTAACACTTGGTTTGCATATACACTGCCAACCACTTCTACAATCTCAGGAACATTTTGAAGAACATCCTTAAGCTCCTGAAATCAATGGCAAGTAAATCTCATTGATTTCACAAGTGTCCGAGGTGTACATGAATACACACACAAAAATTAGGTTAGAGAATCATTTCAGAAAAACTCATTGTGTCACACTAATTGTCTTGTGTAATTTCTACATGCATAAACGTGATATCTAGCATTAACCGTGGCTGCAATGATTCACTGGAGAAGGTAGGACTTAATAAGTTAATACATAAGTAGCAGGGTCTAGTCTTTTTGCAATCTTGGTCTAACGAGGGAAAATTTGATTCTCAAACTTGTCTTATATTTGAGCGACTGATGAGTTGCCATTGTAAATGATTAACAGGCTATCTTGGTTAATGAAAACATTAAAAAGCTTACCTAATGTAACAATCTCTAAACAAGGTGGGGTTGTTATTAGTGTCTTGTCACTATTTTCTTTGTCATATGTGATATATGAGAAGAGTTATGTAAAACAATCAGTGTCATACTATTACATGCCTTTTTGTGTGGTGCAATTGAGGAGAGATGCTTTGCCTTTCTTTTGTGGCAAGCACATGGTTTGCCATATTGCTTTGCAGAATAGAAAATGGGTATTTGTGATTGACTTTTTAGTGGCTTTTTTTCTATTTTAGTAATTTTTTTTTTTATTGTCAGAAAACTTTAGGCTTTTAGGTTCTACTCAGTAGACACAAACCAAAAAAGTAAAAAATATATAAAATGATAATAAATTTTAAAAAAAATGTCCCCTAAAGACAAAACAAAAAAAGAAGTAAAAACTAGTTGGCTTATTTATTTATTTATTTATTTATTTATTTTTTTGGGGGGTTCAATTAGATTCTTCTACACTAGATGGACCGGAAAAGTAAAAAAAAAAAAATTTAAAAATTGACACAAATTTGAAAAAATATGTGGCCTTTTTAGCTAGATGCCAAACAACTCCCATGTAAGAGATCACAAAATAGGAGCAGAACCAGGATAGTAAGCAAGATCACCAATGCAATCAGGATTCAGATCTCAACATTGTTAGAACTCAACTATCACCGGAAAAGTAAAAAAAAAAAATTAAAAAATTGACACAAATTTGAAAAAATATGTGGCCTTTTTAGCTAGATGCCAAACAACTCCCATGTAAGAGATCACAAAATAGGAGCAGAAGTGGCCTTTTTAGCTAGATGCCAAACAACTCCCATGTAAGAGATCACAAAATAGGAGCAGAACCAGGATAGTAAGCAAGATCACCAATGCAATCAGGATTCAGATCTCAACATTGTTAGAACTCAACTATCAAATCAGGAAATCAATTCAAACAAGGATAGAATTGAATGATACTGAATAAATGTAAAATAATATATGCGAAATAGCATGTCGGATAGCATAGCAATACATAAAAAATTGGACATGAGATGTGTCCAACAAGTGTCTAAGAAAGGAATAAAGCATACCTAATCTGCTAGAAATTCAATGTGATGCCTTTTTTGGGCTTTGCTCTGTGATCTATCAGTAGGATATCTTGAACATGCACAAGTACCCATTTCTAACAAGCAATTGTGCAAATAAAAGTCAAAACACAAATCATAATGATAACTTAACCTTATAACCACGCCGGAGTCACAGACTGGGTGAACCACACACACCTTAGAATCAAGTATCCAATGAGAAGAAAGGTGAAATCCCATTCATTTCAAGAAGATGCCAAGTGAAACAAATTTAACAGAGTAATATGTATAGTATAGTATAGCAATCACCAAGAGATTACATTCATCCATCACGGATTCCTAAAGAATTGCATCCAATACTTCTAAACAAGCTGTTCAGATTTCTGGCAAACCCAATCACAAAACATTTTGGAACAACTAGTTTGAATTCTCTAAACCAAAAATCAAAATTTATTCAGATCAAAACTCCAACTTAACTTCGATTAAATAATCAATAGTGATTCACAATCAAATAAGTTACAAATAATGGAAAAGCACGTTACCTTGAGGCTAATAAACCCACAGAGGGCCTCGAATTCTGTTAGTGCCAAAGCCATTTCAGGCTTGTGATTATCATCCTTGAAGACATCAGGCCGAGTCTTGTGAAGAAACCCAGCAAATTCCTTATCAGGATGGGCCTGTATCGACAATGCCTTTGAAACTGAAAGTACCTAACACATTCCAAATAATCAAAAATCTATTCAATCACATTAATACACAAACCATGAAATTTATAATCAAAGCAAAAAAAACAGAGTGTTTTTACCTTGAACAAGAAAGGAAGAGTAACGCCCCATTTCTGAATAACCTTATCGCCAAGAACACCAGGGTCTTTGGCAATCCACGAGTTCAAACTCAAACCCAAACTCTCGGAACCAATCGACTCCCCATTGTTGAAGCTTTGGAGGACGAAGGAGGGTCCAGAGTTGTGAGTGCCCATCCAGAACTCAGCGTAAGGCTTGGCTTCGTCGACGTCGACCCCAGAATTCAGAGAGAACAGCCTGGCAACACGCGATTGGCGGCCGAATCGACCCCAATCGTAGTTCTGCATCGAACATCTCAGTCTCTGCACCCTCCTCTGACTCGCCGAACCATTAGCCTCCATCAACGTCATACAAGAAAAAACTAGAGACACAAAGTAGTATTGTTTGGAGAAGTGGAGTGGGCGTCCTCCATGCAAAGAAAACTCTGGTATTTATTTAAAGAAGAGAGGGAAAGGAAAAAAAAGGTGGAGAGAGAAAATAGTAGTGACTTGATAGAGACGGAGAGAGAGAGGTGGTGAATTTAATAGTTTGAAATTTGGGGTTACGTTAGATTTGGGAGACTTGAGAGTGGGAAAGTATAGAGAGAGAGAGAGAGAGAGAGAGAGGGGCTTTGTTTGGGGGAGTCGTTGTTGCGGCAATATGACGCCCACGCCTTCATCGGTTATTTCCAAGTGAGAGAGAGTGGGCCTCTGCGTCGGAGTCCACCATGTGTGTGAGTGTGCGTCTTTCTATTTTTAACGGAAGGCGGTTAAATGTGTGTGGGCCCGAATCAATTCCTTGGGGCCCAGCCAAACAAGTTGGCCCACTCCCGCTCCAATTGGATTACGTTGGTCGGCGTTTGCCCATTCTCCAATCGCCATCAATCTTTTGCCACATGCACAACATGAGAGGGTTATTTTTTGAAAATTATTATTTATTTTTATTTTATTTTATTTTTATGTGTATTGTATAAAACTTATTTTAAAGAAGTAAACAGTTTAAATAAAATATTTAATACATAATATTTTTTTATGAATTTATCATAATTTTTGAAAGAATTTAAGGGTAATTACATACAAAAAAAAAAATCTTAGAATTTGATCATTTTTAAAAAATAAAATTTTAATTTTATTAATTTAAATCTTAAATTTTTAATTTAAACCATCTGCTTATTTTAAAATTAACTAAAAAAATACTACTTTAGTTATTAAACTTAACAACAATGAATGTTTTCGACATTTTATATATATTTACATTTAGTTTAATGATTCAAAAATATCTATTTATTTTTTATCAATTTTACTTAATAAAAATAAATGGATATGAAAATAAATCAAAAATTATAATTTAAATTCATAAAACTAAAATTTTATTTTATTACAATGATTGAACTCTCAAACTTTTTATAACTTTCACAATAATTTATAATATATGATATATATATATATATATATTTTTGAATAGAAAAAAAGAAAAAGATGTTTTATGGTGTCGTTACCGTATCTGTGGATCCTGATCTCGAGATAATTAGTTGTCGATCAAATTTAACCCAATCCTTAAAAAAAGATCCACTATCAAGGTATCAATGGAACTCAATCACACATCATAAAAGAAATCGAGATCAAATCAAAGTACAATGCAAAATTCCAAAAAGAACCAACTAAAAAATTAAGGGATTGTTTGGGATGATCTAAAACTTTTTATGAAATATAGGTCGGATTTGGGTTAGATTTGAAGTGATGTGTTAGAGAAGTGATGTGACTTAAATAAGATATTAATTTTTTGACTTTTTAACTTTTTTAAAACTTGACAAACCAACCCTAAATCATTTTTTATACTCTCAAAATTTAAACCGAATCACCTCTGTGAAGAAATATGTGTTGTCCACTAGGCCATCACCTGCTATTATAATATGTGATATTGAGCAGCCCATTTTATTCTCGTGTTGTGTGATGGACATTTGCATACGTATCGCCCTTTAGATGCTTCAATTAATAAATAAATGATTTTGACTTCGGTATTGTCGTTTAAATATTAATTAAAAATTCAAAAGGTAGTATAGAATGAAAGGTGAATCTTATCCTTACAAAGCCTCCGTTTGGGAAGTGGGTTGGCTTTTTGGCTTTTTGGCTTTTTTAGCTATTTTAGCCTGGACTAAAAAGCTTGGTTTGGGAAGGCTTTTTGGCTTTTTGGCTTTTTTGACTTTTTTTGTGAGAGAAAAGTGTAATGATTATGGGTTAGATGTGATGTTTTGTTTGTTATGGCTAAAATAGCCTGTTTTGTCTTTTATGACTATTTTAGCCCAACCCACTTGCCAAACACCACCAAAATCACTATTACATCCGTGGGTGCTACGATACGATCGGTGACCACCGCAGCACCTCAAATAAAAGGGGCCCATTAAACAAATTCAGCGTTATATTTATCCATGAAATCATCCACTTGTTTGATAATGGCAAATCAGAGCAATTTCATGAATACATGATGATATGCTATCACAAATGTTGAAGACCAAGAAATAAAATATAGAAACCATCAAAAAAATTATGTAATTTAGATCTGACATTTTTATAATAGATTTCAGACTTTAAATAAATTTAAATTATACATTTTAAAAAAAATATATATTTTTCTATAATTAGTTCCTTAGCCTCTAATATTGTTGATATGCTATTTGAGACTCAATCTACAACTACTTGAACATTAAAAACAAATGGTACTACTTAAACAAATAAAAAATTATTTTTAGGTACTATTATTTATACTACTAATATACAATATAATAAAATATGGTAATCAATTTGAAGATTCTTCTATCTATAAAAAATTGTACAAATGGAAATGATACCAACCAATTATATATTTCATATAAAATTCAATGAGAGCATAATTGAAGAGAGTACTTGCAAATGAAAAATAAATAAATAAATAAATAAACCACGTGAAATCCATGTATGTATGCACTGTCAAGAAAGCCATATTAAAGTATTAATGGAGTTCAATCACACATCATAAAAGAAATTGAGATCAAATCAAAGTATAATGCAAAATTTCAAAAAGAACCAACTAAAAAATTAAATCATTTTTTATACTCTCAAAATTTAAACCGAATCACCTCTGTGTTGTCCACTAGGCCATCACCTGCTATTATAATATGTGATATTGAGCAGCCCATTTTATTCTCGTGTTGTGTGATGGACATTTGCATACGTATCGCCCTTTAGGTGCTTCAATTAATAAATAAATGATTTTGACTTCGGTATTGTCGTTTAAATATTAATTAAAAATTCAAAAGGTAGTCTAGAATTACAAAATAAAAGGGGCCCATTAAACAAATTCAGCATTATATTTATCCATGAAATCATCCATTTGTTTGATAATGGCAAATCTAGCAATTTCATGAATACATGATGATATGCTATCACAAATGTTGAAGACCAAGAAATGAAATATAGAAACCATCAAAAAAAATTATGTAATTTAGATCTGACATTTTTATAATATATTTCAGACTTTAAATAAATTTAAATTATACATTTTTAAAAAAAAATATATTTTTCTATAATTAGTTCCTTAGCCTCTAATATTGTTGATATGCTATTTGAGACTCAATCTACAACTACTTGAACATTAAAAACAAATGGTACTACTTAAACAAATAAAAAATTATTTTTAGGTACTATTATTTATACTACTAATATACAATACAATAAAATATGGTAATCAATTTAAAGATTCTTCTATCTATAAAAAATTGTACAAATGGAAATGATACCAACCAATTATATATTTGATATAAAATTCAATGAGAGCATAATTGAACAGAGTACTGGCAAATGAAAAATAAATAAATAAATAAACCACGTGAAATCCATGTATGTATGCACTGTCAAGAAAGCCAAAAGTTAATCATTAACATCATTTGGGATTAAAACTCAAAATTTGGAAAGATTATTTGAACTATTTTTCATTTTCAATTTTGGTAGTTGTTCCTTTGTTAATGATACGAAGTTATTTATTTTGCAATGAAACATATTTATTGGTTTGGGATTGAATTTTTCGCAGGGCAAATTATAATTATAATTATAATGAAAACAGAATATAGTATAATTAAGTCTCATTTGAAATTGGCTGTTTTTAGTGATTTTTAATTCTTAAAAAAATTCAAAAAATTAATGTATTTGGAAAGTTGTAATGAATAGTAATTTTTTTTTTTTTTTGTGAATGAAAAAAATGATGTCACAATTGAGTTTTATAGTTTTAACTAAAAATTAAATTTTTAGTAGATCCCAAGTGAAGTCTTAGGCCTTGTTTGATTAGTGGTTAAATTTTTAGATTTTTACAAAAAGATATGTAAAAAGTAGAGAAAGTGATATGACAATTTATAGTGATTTTTTGATTAAAATATTTAGTCCTCAAACGAGGCCTTAATATAAAAAAAATTCTTAAACTAAGAATTTTTTTTAAAAAATAAATACATAAAAAATAAAATCCGGTAAAATAAAATACAAAACTTTCTAATTTCAAACTCCTAATTTTCATTGCTTATTTTTATTTTTCTTACCAAATTTAAGATACAAAAAATACCTCAATTTTTCACATTTTCAAAAAATAACCATAATTTTTCTCGCCCAACATTCTAATATTAATAACATTCGAGTGAGATTCATTGTATTTAATGACTTACTTTTAATCATAAAATTTAATCTATAAGTAACTAGCAGAATTCAAGTAAGTAAAAATAAAAATAAATGATAAATAAATTAATAGCACAATGTATAAATTGTTAAAGTAGTAAATGCTTTCCTCCTAAAACTTGAAATCTTAGATTTAAATCTTTTACACCTTTTTTTTATATAAATTATTATTTTTTAGATAGCAATATATATATATACATATTTTGTGTGTGTGTGTGTATAAATTAGTGCCCAAAACAATGACAATTACGAGGAGGGAGAGAGAGAAGGGAATGGATGGCGGTGCCACTAACAGGCAAAAGTTGTGGTTTCTGCGCAATAATCAATAATTTTGGGGCACGTTAAAAAAAAAAAAAAAAACTGGCCGACTCTCCATCTTTGAACTAGGGTTTTGTTGGAATGCCATCACAGGTCGAAGCTCTTACAATGGCGGAATTGACTTGCAGGGCTTTGCGAGACAGAGCATTAGATGGTGAACCCTACGTTTTCAAGCTCGTCCTCACCCAACATAATTTTCTAACCTCCAATTTAGCATTTCATTAGTTGATTAATCGGTCTTTGATCGTCAGTTCTAAACTATGTGATTGTAATGATTGGACTAATAATTACCTAAATGCCTGTTTAGTTGACTTTGGCTGTGATTTTTATGAATGTGTGGAAAATTGTTGTTACAGAGCTTAGGGTTTTGGATTGTTAGACGGAGTTTGGAAGCATTACCAATGTCTCGCCAGAAGCATCATACACAATTTGGACAGATTAGTGTCCTATTCAATTCTTGAACTGGGGACAGGTATGGTCGTAATTTCGTAAATTGTATCTTCAGTGCTTTTGGATTGGCTGATATGGAAAGAAAAGAAA